GCTGGGAGCGGAGCCCCCGAGGGGTCTGGGATCGAGGGGATCGGGGCTGGGAGTGGTGCCCCCTGGCCTCCGGGGGGTTCTGGGATCGAGAGGATCGGGGCTGGGAGCGGAGCCCCCGAGGGGTCTGGGATCGAGGGGATCGGGGCTGGGAGTGGTGCCCCCTGGCCTCCGGGGGGTTCTGGGATCGAGAGGATCGGGGCTGGGAGCGGAGCCCCCGAGGGGTCTGGGATCGAGGGGATCGGGGCTGGGAGCGGTGCCCCCTAGTCTCCGGGGGGTTCTGGGATCGAGAGGATCGGGGCTGGGAGCGGAGCCCCCGAGGGGTCTGGGATCGAGAGGATCGGGGCTGGGAGCGGTGCCCCCTGGCCCTGGGGGGTTCTGGGATTGAGGGGATCGGGGCTGGGAGTGGTGTCTCCCCAGGACAGTGCCTCCAGGGCCTGTTCTCCTTTCCTGCCCCCTTCCCCCCACCCCCAGCGTCGCATCTTTGAGAAGAAGCAGCGTCGGAAGCGCCAAGAGCCGCTCATGGTCCAGGCCAACCCCGATGCCAAGGTGACAGGCCACCGGGGCCGCCGGCCCGAGGAGCGCACCCCCCTGATGGAGTCCTGCAGCGACCACAGCCTCTGCAACGGTGAGAGGGGTCCATGCTCACCCATGTAATGAGTTCCCCCCCGGTCTCAGCTCTGGTTCTTCACCAGGTGGGCGGAGCTTATGGGCTAGCCCCGCCCCTACTGGGGTGATTGGCTGGCTGGTGAAATCCCGCACACTCAGGTCACGGTGGAGGGGGGACTCTCCCTCCTCCAACCCCAGGTAGTGATGTGGCTCATCAATTAGGGGCGTGGCTTCCAAAATTAGGCCTCGCCCCTGCCAGAGGTAACGCCACAAAGGGGGTTAATAGTTTGCCTGTGTCAGAGAGGAAGGCAGGGGAAAGGGGCGTGGTTTGTCCATGGAGGCGTGGCTTGTCAACTGGGGCGGGGCTTGATGAACAAAAGTCACCCCCACAGCACAGGATGTGGCTGTCCTGGTATCCCTCTGTCAATCAAGAGAGAGGTGGAAGGGGTGGGTCCTCTTGGGGGTGAGGCTTGCTAAGAGTGGGCGGGGCTTCCAAGAATTAGGCCCCGCCTCTACTAGCAGTAGTGCAGGCAGCCATCCCATTGGAAAAAGAGAGAAGGGGTGTGGTGTATGTGGGCGTGGCCTGCTATTTGTGGGCAGGGCTGGTAGCAATTAGACTCCGCCCACTAGCAGGTGGCCTAATACAGAGGGCAGAACTGTTCCCCCTCTTAACCAAAATAGGGCAGGGAAGCGGTGGGGCTTGTCTGTTGTGGGCGGGGCTTCCAGTAATTAGGCCCAGGCAAGAAGGCGTGACATTTGGGGGTGTGGCTGATGGCCATTAGGCCCCACCCACTCTAAGCTGTGGCATGGCGGAGCACCCCTTGTCTCACCCAATGGGGCGGGACTTGTCTGCTGGGGGCGGGGCTTGTCTGCCAGGGGTGGGGCTGGCGCCACAGGAGGTGACGGACTCTCTCTGCCCATAGGAACCAGCAACCCCTTCCTGGTGGAGTCGGTCCCGGAGGCCCATCGCCCCACTGACGCCTGGAGCAGCTCCGTGCACCTGGACCGGGGCCCCCGAGCCCGGGGGGGGAGGCCGCAGGTAACGGGGGGGGGGCAGATCCTCGGTGCGGGGCCAGTCCCTGGTGGGACCCCCCCCCCGGCTCCGCCCGCTCCGTCACTCTGTGCCTCCCCCATCCAGGTGCCTCCGACGCGGAGCTGGAAGAGGCCGTCCTGGAGGACACGCGGCCCATCAACAAGGCCAAGGCGGCGCCCAGCTCCACGCGCAAGGGTTGGCCGGCCAAGCGTAGCGGGGGTGAGCAAGTGGCAGGAAAGAGGGGCAACCGTTGCCGTGCAACCGTTGCCACACATGTGCACCATAATATGTGCACCATTCCATTGCTATGCAACCGTTGCCATGCTGCTCCCACCGTTCCGTTGCTATGCAACCGTTGCAGTGGGTGCCCCACCTAGTTGCTGTATTGTCACACTCCTAACTCCTTAGCAACGGTTGCTATGACGCCCCTGGCCCGGACTTTTAAAGGGGACAGTGCACCCTTTGACCCCGCACCTCTACCCCCCTCTCTGCCCCACAGCCGGCCATGCCGACGCACGACGCCCCCGGAGCTCGAAGCCGAATGCCCCATCGCTTGCGCGAGGGGAGCGAGTCCCCTCTGTCATCGTGGAGTTCAGAGGTGGGGCACTACCAGGATCTGTGGGGGGAGGTGGGACAGCGGGGCGGGACTGGACATGCGAGGGGGGGGGCATGGAGACTGCGGCCCTGGTGCAACTGGCCCGGGCGGGGGAGAGGAGCGTGCAGCTGGGCGTGCAAGGGGGGCGAGGGTGCATCCCTCGTGTGTGAGCGGGCATGAGGGGGTTTGAATGCCAAGCGCCCATGCAAGGTTGGGGTGAAAGTGGCTCGGGCATGGGGGGGCGTCTCCTCCAGCACTAAGCGCTCCCTCCCCATCCCCCCAGACCCTCAGGACAGCAGCGACGGGGACACCCCCCTGGAGGCCGGCGCTGCGGGCTGGGAGTCAGCCCTGGAGGGGGACTCGGAGGGGGAGGGGCAACTGCCCCAGGACCCCCCCGTGCCCCCCTCCCCCGTCAAGAGAAGACAGGACAGGAAGCTCCCCAACAGAGGTGAGGGGGGGGGGGCGAGGGAGAGGGGCATTGTGGGTAGGGAAGGCTGGGGGGTGGATCGATTGACCCCTCTGTGCTGATGGGTTTGGCTCAGTGCAAAGGATTCTGGGACAGAGGGGTGAGGTGGGGGGAGCGCCCAGTGGGGATGGGGTAGGGCGGGCCAGGGGTATGTGTGCCAGGTGGGGGGGGCTGCCAGGGAGGGGGGCTCAGGGGATAAGGGCTCTCGGGGGGGCACTGAGGACGGCTTGGGGGGGGGCAGGGCTTTCTCTGACCTTCCCCCTGATCTCCCCCCTAGGGTCTCTCGGCAGCCCCCCCGGGAGCGCCGAGGAGGAGGAAGGAGACCCCGACATCCTCTGCAGATCCCTGGAGCCCGCACCAGAGGCCGACACCTCCAGCGTAAGGGCCCCCGCGCCTGGCTCCCACCCACCAGGATGGCCCCTTGCACCCCTTTGCACGAGGCCCCCGTGTCCCACACACGCCTCCTGCACTAGTATCTGCCCTGGGCGTTTGCCCCCGGCCCTGTGACCCCCCCCCCCCCAGACTCCCCACCCCGGGGCACACAAGGCCTGGCCTCTCGTCACCCCCTCCCCCCCGCAGGCCTCACCCCCTCTCCCCTCTCCCGCAGCTGCCGGAGGAAGCGCCGGGGACCCCGTGGCTTCCGCGGCCGGAGGAGCTGGAGGGGTTCGTGCTGCGCCCGGCGCCCCCCGGGGTGACCGTCCGGTGCCGCATCAGCCGGGACCGCAAGGGGGTGGACAAGGGCGTCTTCCCCTTCTACTACCTCCACCTGGAGAGAGACGATGGGAGGAAGGTACTGGGGGGGTAACAGTGCGGGGGGAACGGACACTGTGGGGCAGAGGCCTGGGGAGGCAGTGGAAGAGGTGGGTGCCATGGGGCAGAGGCTGGGGGGAGGCAGTGGAAGAGGGGGGCGCCATGGGGCAGAGGATGGATGGAAGCAGCGGAAGAGGGGGCGCCATGGGGCACAGGCTTAGGGGAGGCAGCGGAAGAGGGGGAGCCGTGGGGCAGAGGCCAGGGGGGAGGCAGTGGAAGAGGGGAGTGCTGTGGGGTGCAGCTGGGGGGGAGGCAGCAGAAGAGGGGGGGCGCCGGGGGGGCAGAGGCTGGGGGGGGGGGGTCAGCGGAAGAGGGAGGTGCCATGGGGTGCAGGCTGGGGGGAGGCAGAGAAGAGGGGAGTGCCATGGGGCAGAGGCCAGGGGGGAAGCAGAGAAGAGGGGGGCGCCATGGGGCGCAGGCTGAGGGGAGGCAGCAGAAGAGGGGGGCACCGTGGGCACAGGCCAGGGGAAGGCAGAGAAGGGGGGTGCCGTGGGGCGCAGGCTGAGGGGAGGCAATGGAAGAGGGGGACGCCGTGGGGCAGAGGCCAGGGGAGGCAATGGAAGAGGGGGACACCGTGGGGCAGAGGCCAGGGGAGGCAGTGGAAGAGGGGGACGCTGTGGGGCAGAGGCCAGGGGAGGCAGTGGAAGAGGGGGATGCCGTGGGGCAGAGGCCGGGGAAGGCAGTGGAAGAGGGGACGCCGTGGGGCAGAGGCCAGGGGAGGCAATGGAAGAGGGGTCACCGTGGGGCAGAGCCTGGGGCAGGTTGTTCATTTCCGTCTCTCTCAGCTGTTTCTCATGTCTGGCCGGAAGAGAAAGAAAAGCAAAACCTCCAATTACCTCATTTCCCTCGACCCCATCGACCTGTCCCGGGATGGGGACGGCTTCATCGGGAAAGTCAGGTGGGTCCTGCACCCACCCCAGAGGGGCCGCATCTCCACCTGGGCGAGGGGTCCCCGTATACCCAGCCCCCGCGCCCCACCCCAGAGGCGGTCGCATCCCAGCGCCGGGCGAGGGGTCCCCAGGTGACCAGGCCTTTCTGATCTCCTGGCAGGTCCAACGTGCTGGGCACCAGGTTCACAGTGTTCGATAACGGGACGAATCCGGATAAAAAACCCTTCGTCCCTGAAACGGCTCCGATCCGGCAGGAGCTGGCGGCCATTTGCTACGTACGTGAGAAAACCTTGGAGCCGGAGCACTGCTGTGGGGAAGCTCACAGCGCTGGCGTCCCCAGCTGGGTCACTGCTGTGGGGAAGCTCGCAGCGCTGGCATTCCTCAGTTGGGTCACTGCTATGGGGAAGCTCGCAGCACCGGCATCCCTAGCTGGGGGCACTGCTGCAGAGAATCTCGCAGTGCTGGGAACCCCAGCTGGGGGCACTGTTGTGGGGAAGCTCGCAGCGCTGGTGTCCCCAGCTGGCCGCTGTCATGGAGATGACGAGGGTGTGGAGGGTTTTTGGGGCAGGGGGATGTTGGGGGACGACGGGGTCATAGATTCTCTGCTGCTCCTCACAACAGGAGACCAATGTGTTGGGGTTCAGGGGACCCCGAAAAATGACTGTGATTATCCCCGGCATGAACACGGACAACGAGAGAATCAGCATCCGCCCGAAAAACGTGAGGCTGCTGGGGAACACTGGCTGGGGCACTGCCGGGGGGAAGCTCGCAGTACTGGGGAATCTCAGCTGGGACACTGCTGTGGGAAAGATCACAGCACTAGGATACCCCGGCCATGGCACTGCTGTGGGAAAGCTCACCAGAGCCAGGGGACCCCAGGCTGGGCACTGCTGTGGGGACACTGCTGCGTGGAAGCTCGCAGCGCTAGGGAACCCTGGCCACGGCACTGCTGTGGGGAAGCTTGCAGCACTAGGAAACCCCGACCAC